AACTTTCAGATTCTTCTTAAGTTTATTTCATGTATTTTTTCCATGGATTTTAAGTCTAATAAGTGGAGAGTAATAGGGCAAAGTGTGTTTACTCCATCATGTCCAGAAGTATGGTTTCTTATCTTTGCTCTTTTGCACATACAGGATATTTCTCCCCCTCCCTGCTTCTAAGATTTTCTCTTTGGCATGGATTTTAATCAATTTCGTTATGATTCCCTTGGAGTAATACCCCCTGTCCCCCATGTTTCTTGTGATTGGGATAGGTTGAACTTCATGGACCTGTGGGTTTATAATTTTCATGAAATTTGGAAAGTTTTCAGCCATTATTTTAATTAATTAATTTATTTATTTATTTATTTATTTTTGGCCACATTGGGTCTTCGTTGCTGTACGCGGGCTTTCTCTAGTTGTGGTGACTGGGGGCTGCTCTTCATTGTGGTGCACGGACTTCTCATTGCAGTGGCTTCTAGTTTCAGAGCATGGGCTCTAGGGTGCATGAGCTTCAGTAGTTATGGCATGCGGGCTCAGTAGTTGTGGCTCACAGGTTCCAAAGTGCAGGGTCAGTAGTTCTGGTGCATGGGCTTAGTTGCTCCACAGCATGTGGGATCTTCCCAGACCAGGGCTTGAACCCGTCTCTCCTGCATCGGCAGGTGGATTCTTAACCACTGCACCACCAGGGAAGTCTCTTAGCCATTATTTCTTCAATTATTTTTTCGGCCCCTGCCCATTCTTTTTCCTCTTTTCTAGGGATCTCAATTACACATAATTAGGCTAGTTGAAGTTGTCATACAGCTCTCTGATACTCTTATTTTCTCAGTCTGTTTTTCTCTGTTTCAATTTATATAGTTTTTATTGCTATGTCTTCCAGTTTACTAATGCTTGCTTTTGCAATGTTTAATCTATTAATCCTAGCAACTGTGTTTTTATGTCTCAGACATTGTTGTTTTTACCTCTAGATTTGTTTGGGTCTTTTAAATATTTTCGACATTGGTACTTAACATGATCAATCTCTCTTCCTTGTTGGATATGTAAAATATAGTTATGACTTTTGTATTGTCAGTATCTATTATTAAATACAAGATCTATTTTTGTCATTTCTAGTTCTGGTTGTGTTTCTATTGATTTTTTGCATTATAGTCATGTATGCCTGCTTATTTACACTTCTGGTAAAATTTATTTGCTACAGACATTATGAAAGTTACCTTCAATGTGCTTGGTATTTTTGCATTTCTATAAATATACTCAAACTTTGTTCTGTAATATACTTATGTTACCTGGAAACAATTTGTTCAAGATTTGCTTTAAGCTCTGTTAGGTGGGACTAGGAAAGCCTTAATCTAGTGCTAACTTGCCTATCTACTGAGGCAATAGCTTTTTGAGTAATCTAACCAGTGCCCTATAAATTATGAGGTTTACCACTCTTGCTGGTGGGGACACAAACTATTCCTGGCTCTGTGTGAGCTCCAAGGATTACCTGTGCTCTCAAGCATTTCTTTTGTTGGCCTCAGGTGGTTTCCTTGATCCCATGCACTGATGAGAACTTGGCTCAATACTCTGCCCTGCAGACTCTAGCCATCACTGCCTCCCTGGACTCTCAGCTCCATCTTGTCTACTTAGGGAGATTACAAAGCTCCCCTTGTATTCCCCCTCACAGTGCTGAGGTGTGGAAATGCTCTCTAGGCAGTAGGCTGGGTCAGGTGTGTGGATCACATTTGTTTATACTTTCTTAGGCATTACCATTGTGTTGCCTGGTGTCCAATGTCTGAAAACCTTTATTTCTCATATTATATCTAGTGTTTTGTTATTTTAGGCAGGAAGGTAAATCCTGCCTCTATTATTCCCATTTTGACTGGAAACAGAGTATTAAAAAAATAAATTCTATTCTTAAGAATTGAAAGAAGAAAAAAAAAAACAAAGAATTGCAAGAGGAACTACAGAGCTTCCATATGCCCTTCTCCGAGTTTGCCTAATACTAACATTTTACACTACTGTAGTATAATGATCAAGACCAGGACATTAACATTGGGAACAATACTATCATCAAATGACAGGTTTGATTGAATTTCATCAAGTTTTCTCTGCTAATGTTCCAAAAATTGAATCCACAATCTGGCATTGTATTTAGTTCCCTTGCCTTTTATGACCTAGAAAAGTTATGAACTTTTGGAGTATTGGGCAAGTTATTTTACAGAAGGGTATTCATTTTGGGTCTGCCTGCAGTTCCTTCATTATTAGAACATAGTTACGCATGTTTTGGTGAGAATACTACCGAAGTGTTTGCCCTTCTTAGTGCATCACCTTGATGCCAGTGTCTCACTGTTGGTGATTATTTGGTTAAAGGGGTGTGTGCAATGTTTTATCTTTGTAATTACTTGGGAGAGATACTTTGAAACAATTCTAATATCCCATTTTTTCCTTATACTTTCACTTTCAACTTTTACCATCCATCAATGGATTTTGTATGTAATTACCACTATTATTATGGTGATTTCCTATTTCCCTCATTCCCTTTACATATATTAATTAGAATTCTTCACCATTAAATTGAACCAGAATCCTTTCCTTGCAGTAGCTAATTTTATGGTTCAGGACAGCAATAAACAGGATAGGTCTGGAACATCCCTTTGTATTTGGGGAAAGAACCCAAAGCTTCCAAGTAGGCTAGGGAAAATGTGGAAAGGATAAAGGAACAAATGAAAATGGAAAGGAATAAATTTTATCAATTTGATCACCAAGAAAAAGTACCAGAAAAAGTACCAAATGTTACATTTTGGTTTATCAGATTAGCAGTCTGTGAAATGACAGGAGTTCATAACAAAATTCAAAGAAAAATGTTAATGTAATGTGACCAAAATATTAATGTAATGTGAACAAAATGTAGCTGTAATTACAAATAAGGGAGACAATAAGGATGTGTTGTATTTTTTTTTCATTTATTAATGATTCAAAAAAATAAGTGTCAAGCCACATGGTTATTTTATTTCTGTCATTAATTTTAAGTCCGTATATAAGGTTTGGATAGTTCATTGTTTTAATTTGTTCGAGCAAGCAAAAAATATTAAAAACACACAAAGAAGTGTAGGACAAGTAGCTCTGAAGTACTGTGCAAGAAGAGGGAAATTAATCAGCATTGATGGTAACTCAGAATAACCAGGTAGAGTAGGATATAAGAGCAAATCAGCAGTGTGGTCACATGACAGCTCAGTAAATAGAGTGAGCTATTAATAACAACATTAATAATTATAATACAATTGAACTATTTCAAAGATATGAAATAGCAAGTATCCTAATAAGGGTAACAACAGAGACCCATTCTTTTACTCTGTAGGACATGAATGATCAGTTACATACTTTTAATAACTGCTAAGTTAAGTAAATTACTAATAAGGAATATGTAAAGAAAACATAGCTCAGTATACCCAATGAGAAAACCTTACTACTGCTGATCATGCAAAACTGGGCAAGATACCAATCTCAAAAATTAAAATCTAAAAAAAAAAAAAAAAAAATTAAAATCTAATGAATGACAGTGATGTAAATGTATGTAAATATAACAGGTAAATTTTCTTATAAAAATTAATAACCAGTGGCTTTTGATCACTTTGATTCTATAACCAGGTCAACTGTCATAAGAAAGAGGTGATGAGTAGCTAAGATTTGCAACCTTATTAACTGTCTCATTTTTTTGTTGTTGTCTTTTCGTTTTTCCTGGTCAGGGGAGATTGCTAAAATCAAAGGTCTACTGATTTTCCAACTGCCAAAACACAGTAAGACAACACTGAATGGAATAAAAAGGAAAATTATAAATAGATACAAAACCCAATTGAAGACATGGTAAATAGGCAGCGTTGTAAACCCTCTTAATTTTAGTGACCAGCTTATAATCATTGCAATAGCTGTAGATTTTCTCCTACTTTTAAAGTTGCCTAAGAAATTTAAGAGATGTAAGATTGGGTTAGAATATTTTATGAAATATTTAAAATGCTCATTTTATTTGGATGCCTACTGGTACTGCCTAGAGGTGAAAAGGCTCCTTAAAGGAATTGTGTTGCAAAAGGTATTTAGGGAAATCTGTTGTGTCAAAACAAAACAGAAATTCAAAAAGAATTCAAACATTTGATGACAATGGAAAAGTTAAAACATCTACCATTAAAACAAAATCAAAAGAAAACAAAACAAATCTACACAAACACCTTGCAGGACCACAAGACTTTAAAATCACATAGTGTCTGGGGGTTCTAACTCTCTGGAGAAGATAAGTATGCCATATAAAACAAGCAAAAAATTAGAATGCAAAAGATATATTTGAGCAGTATTACAAATCACTAAGCCAAAAACAATAAATAGCCAAAAACACAAAAACCAAAAGTAACTGTAAGCAAAACATCCCTGGACAAGAAACTCATATGAGGGCTCCCCTGGTGGTGCAGTGGTTGAGAGTCCGCCTGCTGATGCAAGGGACACGGGTTCGTGCCCCGGTACGGGAGGATCCCACATGCCATGGAGCGGCTGGGCCCATGAGCCATGGCCACTGAGCCTGCGCATCCGGAGCCTGTGCTCCACAACAGAAGAGGCCACAACAGTGAGAGGACCGCGTACCGCAAAAAAAAAAAAAGAAAGAAAGAAACTCATATGAAAATAACTCAAATAATTAATAATTAGGGAAATACATTTCCCATGCATTTAAGAAACGGATTGATAGGCATCATCCTACATAAACGGATATTCAGAATGTTAATTGATATAAAAAGGAGAAATATTTGGTGATATTGAACAAAGCTGAAAGTATATCTCACTTATGAATGAATAATTCTAGTTCTAGAGTGGCCATAAAGTCTGGAAATAGATTTAATTGAGGTAGAATCTCTGCGATAAATTATACTTAAATACACATATTTTTCCAATGAAACTCAGAAATAAATGGGCTTTATATATGTCTTTCATTCAAAAATCTTCTCACCAGTACAACTTGTTCAATGTCAAGTAATTTGCCTGCCCGCTCTAAAGGCATTCCCACATTCCTTACATTCATAGGGTTTCTTACTATTATGAATTCTCTGATGTTTTGTAAAGGATGAACTATGTCTAAAGGCCTTCCCACATGCCTTGCATTCATAAGGTTTCTCTCCAGTATGAATTCTCTGATGTTCAGTAAGGGCCGAACTGTGTCTAAAGGCCTTCCCACATACCTTACATTCATAAGGTTTCTCACCACTATGAATTCTCTGATGTTGAATAAGGGCTGAAGTAAGTCTAAAGAACTTTCCACACACTTTACATTCATAAGGTTTCTGACCACTGTGAATTCTCTGATGTCGAGTAAGTTCACTACCTACTCCAAAAGCTTTCCCACATTCCTTACATTTATATGGTTTCTCACCAGTATGAATTCTCTGATGTCTAGTCAGGGATGAACTGTTTCTAAATACCTTTCCACATGCTTTGCATTCATAGGGTTTCTTACCACTATGAATTCTCTGATGTCTAGCAAGTTCTCGACAGACTCCAAAAGTCTTCCCACATTCTTTACATGCATAAGGTTTCTCACCAGTATGAATTCTCTGATGTTCAATAAGCTGTGAACGAATTCTAAAGACCTTCTCACATTGTATACATTTGTATGGCTTCTCACCAGTATGAATTCTCTGATGTTCAGTTAGTTGTGAATGAAATCTAAAGTCCTTGCCACATTCCATACATTTGTAAGGTTTCTCATCAGTATGGATTTTCTGATGTCTAGTAAGTTGTGCATGCACTCTAAACGATTTCCTACAGAAAGTGCATTCATAGGGTTTCTCACCATCATGAATTCTTTGAAGTGCAGTGATTTTTTCAATTCTTCTAAAAGTCCTTCCATATTGCTTACATTTATAGCACTTCTGATCATCACAGTGTACACTATGGTCTTCACAAAAACTAAATGCATTCCCACATTCCATACATTTACAAGGTTTCATACCAGTATGAATATTCAGTTGTAGGGTATGTGGGTCATCTACTCCAAAGGTTTTCCAATATCTACTGTGTTCAGAGGTTTTCTCAGTATATATTTTCTCATATTCATCAAAGTTTAAGTCACAACTAAGGACCTTCCCAAATTCCTTACAGGGCTTCTCACTATCATGAATTCTCTGATGTAATGTAAGAGATTTATGATTTTTGTAATTGGGTACTTTTTCAGAGATGATTTTCATTTGACTGAAATATCCCACTTCAGGTCTTTGCACTTCAGTCTTCCTTTTGCTTTGCCAATCATTTCTGACAATGGAGTTCTCAAGGCCAACTAATTTACTACTTTCTATTACTTCCCAATGAGAACCATTTTTTTCAATAATGTCCTTCTCTGTAGATAAAGTCTCTTTGTCACACTTGGATTCCAAGTCTGAAAGAAAGGGAAAAAAAAATTTCTTTTTTCATGTGTAACAAAGATAAAATAGTTATAAAATGCACAGGAGAAAAACTGAAAATAATTCACAGTATAAGTGAATGATTAAAATACTGTTATGAAGTTTGAGGAAAGGTAAAGAGAACTCAGAGAATGATAAGAGTATAACATAAGGTTGTGAGGTTTGTGCTAAGAGAAATGGATTAAGTCAGTGGGTCTGAAATTTTGGTGTTGATCATCACCTAGTAAGCTTGTCAAGCACTGATGTTCATGAACTAATCCAGATAAACTGAATCAACACCTATAGATGTGGAAATTAGTCATCAGTATCTTGTAGAAATACTGCAAATACAGATCAAAATTTGATTATTGATACATACTAACAATTTTCTGATACTTTTCTTCTTTTATAATATAATCCCAATACTTTATCATCGATAACAGGGTGCTGCTTGTAAAACAACATCTTAATCCATTATCCCCTTTCACCTAATCATTTTCACCTTCTGCATCAAACCACATTTCCTATCATTTAGAGATACCCACAAGATATTTCATTTCTCAGAAATGGAATCCTTATATACTACTTCCTTTTCGTTGTCTGGGTCTAAAAGTTACCACCCTCTGAAATTAGGTACTAGCTGACTCTAAGTAAGTTCATATCTATGTCTCTATTCCAATATCTAGTTCCTTGCCCTCATACCCATTTTTCCAATTGTGTAATCTGTAATTTTCTCTGTTATCATACTGTTTATTTCCTTATTAAACTCCAAAAGGACAAATAAAATCATTCTATGTGCCACTGAATAGCAAGCCCCAAGGTCATAGTAATTTATAATTACAGGAAAAGCAAATCACTGGTTGAAAGCAATGTGAGAATAAAAGCCAATATTACAAAAAGAAGTCACTGGAGAACACAATTACCAGAATAATTATATAACTATAAGAATCTCCATGCCTTTAAAACCTCACACGACACTACAGTGATTTTATATATATGTTTATATACATGAAAATTATAATATAGTAAGATACATTCATATATATAATAGTGTTTATAAATGATTGTTTTCCAATTGCCTCTCCACCTACGCATACTGTCTCCATCACTGCTGTTAATTTCCTCCTATGCAAAATCATGAGTTTCTTCATCCCAATAAAGATGGTGTTTTATTTACCTCTCTTCAGTAACATTTTCACTATTATTCATCTATCCTCCTGAAATCCTAGTCTATATTTAAATGTTTTCCTTCATGCTCTTTCCCAGGTATTCCTTTCCATTTTCTTATTCTCAAAGCTAACCACTGCTATACTGCCTAAAATAGTATCAGAATGTTTTAGATATTATAATAGGTATTTCCCATATTTTAAAGCTTATGCAATTCTGAGTAAACCTGCGGCTGAAAAGGAGAATTTGGTAACAGAATGATATGTAAAATGTGGTGAAGGTGGGCAAGAGTGTAAGGCACTTTGTAACAAAAGATCTCTTGGACCTAGCTGGAGATTGGCAATCAGATGAGGGAACAACCTAAGGAAAATCCAAAGCGACTGATATACATTGCATGATAAAAGGCAAAAATAATTTCTTGTGACTGAATTATGTATAATTAAGGTGAAATAATGCAAACACCATTATTTGACTGAAACAATAAAATCATAAATGAATGCCAGTATCAGTAAATTAAAAGTACTTCCAATTAGAAATGAAGACACTTTCTATCAAATAACTGTTTAGTTATTGTAGAAATGTAACAGAAATTACAAAACTTTCAGGGAATGGTGGCGTTGAAAATATTGCACATTAAAAATCTATGAAACTCAATATTAGTCACATAGAAAGTAAGAATTTAGACACTTATATTGATAAAACTGAAAGAATGAAAACCAATGTATACATTCCATTCAAGAAGACAGAAAAGAACAAAGTGACCTAAAGAAAAGGTGAGAGGAGAATACAATAAATATAGAATCAGAATGTGATGAGTTAGAGAACATATAAAGAATATAATCAACAAATATAAAAAGTGAAATAAATCAAAGATGACACAAACAGATGGAGAAATATACCATGTCCTTGGATTGGAAGAATCAGTACTGTGAAAATGACTATACTACCCAAAGCAATCTACAGATTCAATGCAATCCCCATCAAACTCCTAGTGGTATTCCTCACTGAATTGGAACAAAAAATTTTACAATTCGTATGGAAACACAAAAGACCCAAATAGCCAAAGCAATCTTGAGAAAGAAAAACGGAGTTGGAGGAATCAGGCTCCCTGACTTCGAACTATGCCACAAAGCTTCAGTAATCAAGACAGTATGGTACTGGCACAAAAACAGAAAAGTAGATCAATGGAACAGGATAGAATGCCCAGAGATAAACCCACACACATATTGTCATCTAATTTACGAGAAGGGAGGCAAGAACGTACAGTGGAGAAAGGACAGCCTCTTCAATAAGTGGTGCTGGGAAAACTGGACAGCTACATGTAAAAGAATGAAATTAGAACACTCCCTAACACCATACACAAAAATAAACTCCAAATGGATTAAAGACCTAACTGTAAGACCAGACACTATAAAACTCTTAGAGGAAAACATAGGAAAAACACTCTGACACAAACAACAGCAAGATCTTTTTTGACCCACCTCCTAGAGTAACGGAAATAAAAATAAACAAATGGAACTAAAAAAATCCAATTAAAAAATGGATGGAAGGGGCTTCCCTGGTGGCGCAGTGGTTGGGAGTCTGCCTGCCGATGCAGGAGACACGGATTTGCGCCCCGGTCTGGGAGGATCCCACATGCTGAGGAGCAGCTAGGCCCGTAAGCCATGGCCACTGAGCCTGCACGTCTGGAGCCTGTGCTCCACAGTGGGAGAGGCCACAATGGTGAAAGGCCCGTGTAACACACAAAAAAAAATGGATGGAAGACCTAAATAGACATTTCACCAAGGAAGACATACAGATGGCCAAGAAGCACATGAAAAGATGCTCAACATCACTAATTATTAGAGGAATGCGAATCAAAACTACAATGAGGTATCACCTCATGCCAGTCAGAATGGCTATTATCAAACAATCTAGAAACAATAAATGCTGGAAAGGGTTTGGTGAAAAGAGAACCCTCCTGCACTGTAAGTGGGAATGTAAATTGAAACAACCACTATGGAAAACAGTATGGAGGTTCCTTAAAAAACTAAAAATAGAACTACCATATGACACAGCAATCCCACTACTAGGCATATACCCTGAGAAAAGCATAATTCAAAAAGAGACATGTACCACAATGTTCATTGCAGCACTATTTACAATAGCCAGGACATGGAATCAACCTAAATGTCCATCGACAAACGAATGGATAAAGAAGATGTGGCACATATATACAATGGAATATTACTCAACCATAAAAAGAAACGAAATTGAGTTATTTGTAGTGAGGTTGATGGACCTAGAGTCTGTTATACAGAGTGAAGTAAGTCAGAAAGAAAAACAAATACCATATTCTAACACATATACATGGAATCTAAAAAAAAAAATGGTATTGATGAACCTAGTTGCAGGGCAGGAATAAAGATGCAGACATAGAGAATGGACTTGAGGACATGGGGTGGGAGGGGTAAGTTGGGGCGAAGTGAGAGAGTAGCATCGACATATATACACTACCGAATGTAAAGTAGTTAGCTAGTGGGAAGGAGCAGCATAGCACAGGGAGATCAGCTCTGTGCTGTGTGATGACATAGAGGGGTGGGATAGGGAGGATGGGAAGGAGGCTCATGAGGGAGGGGATATAGGGTCATATGTATGCATATGGCTGATTCACTTTGGTGTACAACAGAAACTAACACAGTATTGTGAAGCAATTATACTCCAATAAAGATCTATTAAAAAAAATAAATGACAAATGAAAGAACCATCACAGAGGGTATTTTTTAAATGTTATAAGACTCATATGCCAACCAATTTGAAAATGTTGACTTATGAATTATTTTCTAGGTAAATAAATACTGAAAACCCCAGAAGCCATAAAAGTTGAAAAATGAACAATTTGCTAGAAAGAGATAAAATTGTCAAAGACTTACCTCCCATGAAACAAAAAATCATAAGCATGCCTATTGCCCAGGTTGTGGCAATAAACCAGGTAATGAACCATGGCTCCTAAAATAAAGATCTGAGTCACGACCTGGAGCAGGTAAGGTAGAAGATGTGCCCTTGACTGTTGTGACAGAAGCAAGAATGTTTTATAATATTAATGAACCATAACAAAAAGACACAGATCATCAAAGGAGACCACCATTTTGACAATACAATAATCAAAAGAGGGTTAAAAGTACTTTGTGTACCTAAACATGTTAACTAAACAACTAAAAATTTATAGCTAGAATTAATTTTTTAAAAAGGAACAAAACACATAAAACATGGAAGACCAGAAGAACTCACTTTTAACCAATTCAGGTGTTTGGTCTGGGATAGGGAAGTTATAGGGTGAGCCTGGGAAAGCTTCAGAAAGCAATAGTAAATTCAAAGAATAAAGAATCAAGTCAAAGGTACACAAAAATCCATAAGGAATTAGTATTTATACAGCTAGGCATCAACAAAGACTGTGATGGGCTAAAGTATACTAAACCAATGAAAATCAACAAATCCATAATGATACATAAATAAGAGGTCAGAAAATTTCAAGTGCACCATTTGAGGTGGCTAATTAGTTACAATCATATAAAGAGTATAATCAAACACTTGCTGCCTTTTCCATTAGATTTCAAGTTTATCAAGTAGCATGAGGGTAACTAATTAAATGTATTAGAAGGAATGACGGACTTAGTACAACACTGATTTAAATGAAGGTTTTCAATTGTAAAGAGCATTAAGTGAATTGTTGATGAGGAACTGTGTATTCATAGAATGCTAAAGTAGGACCAGAGAGATCCCTTTCTGACCATAATATCTGAATTAGTTCCATTGTTCTTCATCCCTTTATTTTGCTTACTTTTCTTCA